GAGAGAGAGAGAGCCTAAGTCTACGACGATCTGGCAACAAGACTCTAACCCCCCAAACTCTGAACCCTAAACCCGAAAGCTTGAACCCTCGAACCCAAAACCCCAGTCTCCTGAACGCGAGCACACGGGTATTATAGAATCCCCACAAAACCGTTTTACCCTTAAACTCATTCATCCCGACACCCTACACCCTACAGTTACACCCTACACCCTACACCCCAAACCCTACACCCTAAACCCTAAACATAGATGTATAAAGGGGTACCAGGTCATGGGGTCATAGGAGCTCCAAGAGCTCTCTCCCTCGGGAGCCGCCAGCGGCCTCAGCATTAGAGGGATTTAGGGCTTTAGGGCTTAGGGTTTAGGGTTTAGGGTTTGGGGTTTGGGGTTCAGGGTTTAGGGGTTAGAAGGATGTAGGTACGAATGAAATGAAGGCATTGAAGGGGCTATGTTGTTGGTTTCTTGTCGTATTGAAGCTCTAGGAGCCCTAAACCCTAAACCCTAAACCCTAACCCTAAATCCTAAACCCTAAACCCTAAACCCTAAACCCTAAACCCTAAACCCTATACCCTATACCCTAAACCCGAGACCCTAAACCCTAAACCTCTAATTGCGAACCCTAAGCCCTGAGCCTTTACGAGCGCACAGCCTCGGAAGCTTCCAATCCTACGCCGAGGTTGCTCGGCAGCCTGCACGGCGGCGAGGTGGCGGATGGCCCTAAACCCTAAACCCTAAACCCTAAACCCTAAACCCTAAACCCTAAACCCTAAACCCTAAACCCTAAACCCTAAACCCTAAACCCTAAACCCTAAACCCTAAACCCTAAACCCTAAACCTTAAATCTCAAGCTGCAAGCCCGCCCGAGCCGAAACATCGATACGTTCAGTGCTCCCCAGTAGGGTTTAGGCCTTGTCGGTTTTAGGGTAATATGGGCCCCTAGTGAGGAGACCCGTATATACCCCTTATAGGGTTTAGGGTTTAGGGTTTAGGGTTTAGGGTTTAGGGTTTAGGGCCCCAAAACAACGCACGTGCCCATGACCGCATTAGCTCGGATCCTTTTTGTCACGGGAGTTAACCCCGTATGCTTGGAGGATCGGGGCATTTAGAAATTAGGGATGTAAGTTCCTCACGTAGTCATAAGTATAGTTACCTTATTTATGACTCCACTTGCTAAGCCCCCTGAACCTTTAGATAAGAATGGTACTTGGAGAATCACTGTAGTTAGAACCCTTTTATCCGCCCCTTAAGTACCCCAGTGTGGTGATAGTGGGGTTATAAGTACCCTAAACCCTAAACCCTAAACCCTAAACCCTAAACCCTGAACCCTGAACCCTGAACCCTGAACCCTGAACCCTGAACCCTGAACCCTGAACCCTGAACCCTGAACCCGGGATTTTTGGGTTTGATGTTAGGTCCGATTCTTGTTTTGGCGGCGGGTTCAGGGTTTAGGGCTGCTGCGGCTTAGCGTTTAGCGTTTAGGGTTTAGGGTTTAGGGTCTAGGGTCTAGGGTTTAAGGGTTTAAGGGTTCTAGGGCTTGAGGGGTTGAGGGGCTTGGGGGGTTAGGGGGTTTAGGGGTTAGGGGTTCAAGGGTTTAGGGGGTTTAGGGGTTTAGGGGTTTAGGGGTTTAGGGGTTTAGGGGTTTAGGGGTTTAGGGGTTTAGTGGTTTAGTGGGTTTAGGGCTTAGGGGTTCAGGGATTTAGGTTAGGTCGCGCTCGAAGGATTGTTCAGGGCTCATGCTGGGTCGAGTGCGTTGCGTGCCCCTTAGAACACATTTTCCCGGAACAACCGTAAGTCCTGAACCCTAAGCCCTAAATCCTAAACCCTAAATCCTAAAACCGAAAATGATTGGGCTTTTTCATTTCAGTGCCATGTTCTCCAAGTCACTTGGGGGCCAGGGGCCCCGGGACCCAAACAAGCGCAACTTACATGCCTCAAGCCCCAAGGACTTCATAGAGGGTTTAGGGTTTAGGGTTTAGGGTTGAGGGTTTAGGGTTCAGGGTTTAGGGCTTAGGGTGATTCATGGGATTTGGAGTTTGGGGGTTTGGGGCTTCGGGCTTAAGAAGTTTGGGATGGGGTTTAGCGTTCTAGGCCCCGCAAGGCGCTACGCAGGCCCAAACACCCCAAAACACCCTAAACTCTAAACCCCGAAACCCTAAACTCTCTGAACCCTCAACCCTCACACACCCTGGAGGTCCGAACTTACCCCCCGGCGCGGGGATCCCCAGAGATCGGTTTAGGGTTTAGGGTTTAGGGTTTAGGGTTTACGGTTTAGGGTTTAGGGTTCAGGCTTAGGTTCATAGTACATAGTCTTGTGCCGGGGGCTCGGGGCTGCGAAGGTTTTGGGACACGAACTACGAACGGAAGCCAGCTCGAATTTGTGGCTTAGGGCTTCGGGCCTAAACCCTAAACCCTAAACCCTAAACCCTAAACCCTAAACCCTAAACCCTAAACCCTAAACCCTAAACCCTAAACCCTAAACCCTAAACCCTAAACCCTAAACCCTAAACCCTAAACCCTAAACCCCTAAACCCTAAACCCTAAACCCTAAACCCTAAACCCTAAAAACCCTAAACCCTAAACCCTAAAACCTAAACCCTAAACCCTAAACCTAAACCCTAAACCCTAAACCTAAACCCTAAACCCTAAACCCTAAACCCTAAAACCCTAACCCTAAACCCTAAACCCTAAACCCTAAACCCTAAACCCTAAACCCTAAACCCTAAACCCTAAACCCTAAACCCTAAACCCTAAACCCTAAACCCTAAACCCTAAA